TATTTCCCAAATAAGTGTTCACTTGTGAACCCATTTTACAGAGTAATTTCCCAAGGCTTATGAACCAACTTTTTAGTCAGCTGACTGTTTTACAAACATCTTATGTAGCATTTATTTATTGTGCATAAGGATTTCCTTCATGAACTTATTTTTCTGTGTTCTTTAAAGTAATTTAAAAGTGTATCCATATCACATTTACTCCATTATCCTCCTGATTTTTTAAGAGGACTGGCTGTGTACAATAGTTATCCTCCTGAGATTTCAACCAACTTCGCAATTGCTTAATGACCTTTGCCTTTGATATAGACGTAATTTTTAAAGGGAATATACTCTTCAACAGTTTAATTCCTTGTGATTATGCCAGCTCTTTCAGAAATGAACAGCTGGTAAATTCGCTGAAGCAGACCTGTGTGGTGCCACATTTATGGAGTGCTTCCTTGGAGCAGAACAATACATTATAGCTTTGGCCACAAAGTGCAATCTAAAAATAATTCTACTTTGCTCCAGAGATGTGTATGGATTGATTATTTTTCTCCTTTAGAGGTGATTTAAGCTACTAGAATGCAGGATGAGTTTAAGAAAGGGAACTGTGATTAGACCAGGTGCATTATATCTTTATGAGCTTCCGGCTTTCTTGTAAGAATTGTTAGTTTTAGCTTTGAAATTAATCACTTATCATTTTCATACTTGAGTAAGACTTTACTTTGGGAAAACAATTATTATTGAAGTTTTAATGTGGAGGAGTGGAAATTAAAAACATGACTGTCAGGTAACTTTGCTGAATTTTATTGAAGATGGAGCTATGTTTAATGCTTAATGTTTAATGTTTAATTGTTCATTGTCTTTGGTGCTGAAAATAAAACAGAGTTCACTCAGTCTGCATGACATAATAAAATGCCTTTAGAATGTGAAATTTAGATCCATATTTTGTGCATGGCATGAACCTAAAAAGAAACATAAAAGAAGTGGACAGGGTTCTTCCTGAGCTGCTGGACTTCACTGAAGACCAGGATGTTCCTTGTAATGCATCAGGTTTTGGTGATGTTCAGGGGACGAGAGGGGGCATTGCAGGGTTCTGCTTTCCAGGGCTCTGTCTCCCTTGCCAGTCAGTTCGTGAAGTGCTTCTGCCATGCTCCCCTCTGCCAAACCCCTGCCTTCCTGTGCACACTTCTGCAGTGTGTTTTTTCCACAAAGGACAGCCCTTTATGTGCTGTTAAACTCCTCTTCTGTCCAGCTTTGGCAAAGCTTCTTAAGTAACTATTTCTTTGCCCTTACTTCTTCTCAAGTACCCAAGAATGCCAGTGTCTCAGCTGGGCTTCTGTCAGGTCCTGGAAGAAGATGAGATTGTAATTACCTGCATGATCTATGGAGCAAGAGCTACAGAAATCTGGCAACAACGTTAGCTGCATTTTTTTCTTAAATTAAATTCAAAGCAGAAGAATACTGCTACTTGCACTGTGAATACTCTGTTGTGGTTTGAATAGTTTTGTCACATTGAATGGTTCAAGAAGTATTTGTACAGCTCTGTCAGGAACATGGTGTGATTCTTGGGGATGGTCCCATGCAGGGCTATGTGTTGGATTTGATGATCCTTATGGGGCACTTCCAACTCAGCATATTCTGGGATTCCATGAATACTGAATACATACAGTAGTTTAAAAATACAGTACAGTCCATAATATAAGGGTTTTTAATGCTGCCCCACAATTTGAATCTTTAGTGTCTGTTAAATTCTTACAAAGACAGTCCTAACTCAGTTGATAAAGGTGCCAAAGGAGGATCATAGTTTTTGACAGCTGGCTAAAGAGCATCTAAAATATTTATATGGGAGGGTTTTTGAAAATGACCAAAACCCCAAAATCACTTCATTAGCATCAGTAACCGGAATATAGCAAAAAGTTTGTATATAAATTGTCATAATTTGGTGTTTCAAAGATGAATTTGACACCACAAAGGTGGCAATAAGGCTGCTTCAGCCTTCTTGCAGTATGACTTTAAATATTCTGTGGGTTTGGAGATTTCTTGATAATCACCAAAACTGTAAATATGGTTATACTATATTTAGGGATTGTGAAATAAATCTGAAATAATTCTTCATGAGGGATAAGAGGTAACAAACCAGAGAATGCAAATGGACTTCTTTCACCATCAGTGATTCTCATTTGGGATAGGCCCAGAGGCTATGTCTGAACAGGAAACCAGGAACTATTGACATACTTGTGGGTCAACAAAATTACTGCAGCCAGCTCCAGAGGATATACAAATTGTTGACAGCACTACCACCCTTTCCCTGCTTCTGCAGAAAATGGGGCAGATGAAGTTTGTACAGTCCAGTGGTTAGATGCAGAGTGTGAATAAAACAGTATCATTCCCATGGATGTCTATAACCCCTGTAGTTTCATGTAACTGCTGAGTTATACTTGGGGATTTAATAAAAATATGTGTCTGATTTATTGTCCTGGCTGAAAATCAATGGAAGATGATTGGCAGCAGAATTTTCCATTAACATTGGCATGGCATTCATAGAAGGAAGCTTTCAGTGGTTGTGCTGCAAACCTAGTTTTCCATTTTGAAGAACGACAGAGGTGTTTGAGAAAGACGCTTCTGTATCAGTTGTAGTATTATTCAGAAAATAGAATTCAAAGGGAGAAAAAGAATCACCAGTTGTCACATTTGTCACTTGAATTGGAGGTTATCTTGAAGGAAACTGGCAACAGGAGTCATTAACTCAGCTGCTCTGTTAGGGCTGTTTTTTGAGAAAGGTTATAAACTAAAAATTTGACTAAACTTTTTCTTTACAGATGAATAAGACTATATTATCATGAAGTGCTGATAAGACTGGAAACTACAATGGGTGCTTACACCAAAATCATATTAGATATCAGTATTTTCCTTCATAAGGAAGAGGAAGGAACTGAATTTTTAATTTTTTCCCTGTTATTTGTGATGGGGATTCTGAACTTCTGTATGCTTAAGTAAAGACTTTAACAGATTAAGAGTTACTCTACACAACTGGCAAACTGTGCTTGCTCACATCCCACACGTGGACATGGTTTGGGGAATTTCCTTTGCTCTATTAAATGTTAATTTCTGCATGTATGACAAATTTAAGGGGCCAGTTATCAAACTGAGGGGTTTCTGTGAGTTTTATAATCCTGATCCTAGTTCTAATTCCGGATGGAATTTCCTGTGCATTTCTCCATGTCCTGAAGTCAAATGCTTGCTTTCACTTTTTCTTCTTGCTCATGATGTCACATTTTCAATGAAATAATGACTAAATAAAGGATACCCACATTTACAAGGAGACCAGACAGCATTTCATACCAAGTAAAATTTTCATATATTTGCTTCTCTTTCTAATCCTGAAAAGAATACTTGTGCTTCATGAAGTGGTTTTCAGCAGAGTGAAAATGCAGAGTGAATGCCCACTGTCCCAGCAGCATGGTGCCCCAGAAAGACAGAGCTGAATGGGCGGGACTGAGTTCACCACCGTCTCTCATCTCAAATGCTTTTCTGCTTGCCATTAAGCTCAGAGCTCAAGAGCTGGTGATGGTGCACTTGTTTCTCATGATGAGTGAACACCAGTTGGCTTAGAAATGGAAATTTTTCAGCATAATGCCATTATCAAGGTGATTTACTACTGGAGAAAGAGCCCATTGCAGCTTTTCTGATCGTGTTTCAAGGTTTTGCCTCTTTTCTCTCCAACCCTCACAACAATAATGATGCAATATATTAAATTAAGTGGTAACGATGTATGAAGCTGTGGTTATCATTAAATATGTATGCTTCTGGAGTGTTGTAAACACACAGTGCAACCCTAATTAACCATAGGTAGTCTACAATTATCCCGTGGCAATTACCCTAATTAGAATTGGCTCATTATGGGAAATAGAATATATTTTTTTTCTGTTTGGTTCTGAAAAATAGAGTTGGCAATTAACTAAAAACAGCAACTGCTTCATCCAACTTAAAAAAACCTAATTTGCCCTCTTAGAGCCTGTCACATTTGCCACAATTAGAGCAGTTTTATAAACAAAACCAATAATCAGATCCGACTTCCAAAGAATACATGCTTTCATAACATTGTGTGTCTGTCAGTGTTGACTGATAGCTGTGATGCACAGAGGTCCATAAAAAAGCCCAAAAGGCTATCCAAAGCACCCAGAGATGCAGAGATCATTTCCTTTGTGAAACTATTAGAGGAGTTAAGGGAGCAGTGAGAAAGCACATACTTTCTTTTGCTCTGGGAATAATTCAGCTGCAGATATGGAGAGTCTCTCCCTTGTTTAAGCATGTTGAGCAGTATTTCTGACCATCCCTCTCCTCCTTTGGTCACTGGGAAACCTTGCAAGTGTAAGACAGAGTTCCCAGGCTGTTCACAAGAGAGCAGCCCTACCCTTGTGGAGCTGCCACAGGCAACTGGATCTGTCCACTAGCCCAGGGAACTTGGCACTCATTCCAAATGGTCATTTGCAGGCCCCTGCCAGCAAGAGAGTGAAACACTCACATGCAGGACATGGCAGGTGTATCCAAATGCTGTGGGGCACCATCCTGAACCAAAGAAGAGATGGTATCTCTGGACTAGGCTGATTTCTGCTGGCCAAGGCTGTGGCCAGACATGCAGCTCTGCTACTGCTGCTTAGCTGAGTATAGGTGGTGTTGCCCCCAAAATCCCATCTCTACGCCTCCTTCCCTACCAGACAACCCTGATTCCTTACACACCAATGTCAGGGTGCTGGGAATAGTAGGAAGTGGGAACAGCCTTACCTAGAATTGCTCCTGGCAGAAGAGGATCTGTAATTGCAGTATGAGGATTGAGGACATAATACTGCCACTGTGAGGAATCTCCTGTTTCTAATTTTATTTTTTTTATCGGTTCATAAATACAATGAAAAACTAAATGAAGTGTAGGCTGTTTCAAAGTCCTGTCATACAAATGTATCTTCTAAGTCATAAATTAATGATTTGTTTTCTCCATATGCTTTGCCTGATACAAACAGGAACAGTCTGCTTTTGCTAAGAGTGGAAATGCCTCTGCTGAAATGATCTTGTGGGAATAGGAAGATGCAAGAAGAAAATGTTCAAGTAATCTGTAAAGCCTGCACAATGCTACAAACAGAAGGAAAGTTCACATAAGGAAATGAGAGCTGAAGGATAGTGATTGATCAGTATCATATGCTGTCCTCATGTGGTATGTATGTATCTGTTTTCCACAATTAATGAAAACCCTGTTGTTTTTTTTACTCTACTTCTAAAACATGACCTGCCTTTCTTTTTGTCATGTCTGTGACTTTCAGTGTTGTTGGGACTTAGTTCCATTCTTTCCAGTGTTTTTTTTATTTTTTGCAACAATTACATTAGCTGCCATCTCCAAAGAGGAAACCAGTTTTTCCAGTTATAAATGAGATTAACCGTGAAAAGTGAGAAAAGGAAGATGCTGAGGGTGTACCTGAGCAGTATTTCCACAGCACTTCCAAAAGGTAATACGAGATAATGCTTTGAGAGAACAATGTGGGCAGAGTAAAGGAGGTAAGTCCTGTACTTCTAGTTAAATGATATTTTTCGTTATTGTGGGAAATATAGCTATCTAAATTGCTTTTCTCTGTTTTCCAAATATCTTGAAGTTGGAGGCTAGCATGCACAGGGAGGTTGTTGGTGTGGTTTTCTGTATTTGCATGGTGACTTTCAGAAGACCTTAGGGGTGGAAGGAGGGGAAATATGTTGGTCTCACTGCGAGAATCAGCCTCGAGTTATACCATGATCTTTGCTTCTTCTCCAGCCTCTAACCAGGGTATGTTGGGACTTCACTTTGCAGGGATGAGGCAAGTGGAGGCACAATAGAGACAGGTGAGATTATAGAAAAGAGTATTTTTGCTTGTTAGTTCAAATCAGGCTCTCAGGAGGAAGATAACTGAGGCAACACCTAACTGGAGAAAGAGCCAGAAAGGGCAAATCTGTTTGCAAGGACAATCTATGGAGTATATTAAAAAATGATGGCTGTCTTCCACAGAAATATTACTAAAATTGAATTAAAAAGTATGCACTTGCATGTCAATTTTACCTTTTAATTTTTCTCCCTTAGCTCATCCACATGTTCCCACCTCTTGTATCTTCCCTTGTATAAAGCATCTTCATTTCAACACTTCTCTGTAAAACTCTTCTTTCACTCCCAAACATTTCTAGCAGAACCCAGCACAGTGTGACTCACACGTGACATCCTACTCAGACCCCCAGGGGATGGAAACCCTGGCCAGGTTGCTTCATTACCAAGGAGGGCTGCAAAGTTATTATTCAAATGATAAAATTCATTCAAAATAAATCTTGCTGCCCAAGATGTTAATGTTTTTATGTAAGAGTTCACTTACTCTCTATTTTCAGGTTTGTGCTATCAGCCCCTGAAAAATAATACTGAAGATGGAGGTGAAAGGACATCTGTTAAGTGAAGGTCTGCACAGACAAAACAGAGTTTTGGCTTTAAATGGAGTTTACTGGCCAGTACTACCATAGGGACTGCAGACATGGATTTTTTTGAGCAGTGCAGATTATCACAAGAAAAAAATATGACCCTTTTTCTATTTGCTTTTTTCTGAAGTACCTCAAATTCTTTTAGCTTAAGCAAGCATCAGTTGCATTTTACGAACTTGCTCCCCCTTCAGTATTGAATTCTGTATACGAAGGAATATAATGGCAGAGGGAAAACCAAGCACAATGTCTGGAAAGACTGCTTGAACACCTCTGCAAACCAGAATGAGAATTAGGTGTAGTGTCTAAGTGAATGTAGCCTCCTTCAGGATTACAAAGGGCATTGCCATCCAGAAATTTTGGCACCAGTTGTCTGCAAGCTAATTATGATTCTAGAAGGGACCTGGCCCTCACAGCATGACTGCCTTGGTCCACTATCCTTCCTAAGCAGCAGCAGGTTTTATTTGCATTAAATAATGCTTGCTCTCTTGGCAATACCCTTCTCCATCATTCAGTATAAGGGCATTTTTACATGATACTGCATTGTACTGTACAAATATAACCTTTAAATTTAATTTCATCTTTTAAAATAAATTTAACTGCTTAATAATTGCCAAAATGACATTTAGCTTTTGCTTTTTGTTTTGAAATATAAATACTTGTTTCAATCCCATACTCCAGTAAGAAATATGTTAGTTTTAATGGGATCAAACACATAATTAAAATATTTTAGATGTTGCCACCATATCCCCATTTTTCTTTAAGTTATTCATTTGTTCCAGCACTCCTTCCTTTGGCAAGAAACTCACTTGCATAAGCTGTTGGATCAGCTTTTCACTGATTTTGAACTCGAGTGATTTTTTGCTTCAGCAGAAAGGAAGAGCTGAGTAAAAGAGTTTTTAGTTTAGAAATATTTCTTCTCCATCAGGAATTTGGGTATCCATTAACTCCAGCAAGAATGGAGACTCTTAGCACTTGGCAGGATTGACTTACTTATGTCACATTACCCAGGTTCCAAGGATCTGTGCTGCTGCAGTGTCATTCCCACTTGTCCTGTTTTTCACCTTGTGCTTTTCTTTAAGTGAAAGCATTGAAAACTTAGAAGGAGTTGTAAAACCTGCCCCTCCCTCTGCCACAAATACAGTACAGAATTTTTCCCTAGAAAATACAATACAGGTAATTCTCAGAAGTGTGCATTTTCCTTATAGTGGGCATGTAAAGTGCTGCTAATCATTCGTGGCTGTTTAAGGTAAATGAAAGCCAAGCTGATGAGTGAGTGATGCCTGGCAGATGAATCCGCTGATTCTCTCAGTTGCTGTTGTTAGTTGATGTTGCTTGCAGCAACTCCTTCCTTGCTTTGCTTGCATGGAGTACTAGGGAAACAAGGAAAATATTTATTAAAATTATAATACCACAATAGCGTAAGTCATTTTTTCCTCGAATTTGGGGCTTGTTCTAAAGCAGTACATTACAATGGAAAATGCAGTCCTTTGCAACAGGCACTGCAGCAAAGCAAACCTTGAAGTGCTCTTGAAAGCTCTCAGCGGTTCCTCTTGTGGGACGTGTTGAATGTAACAATTGCGATAAGTGACTCACGCTGCTCAGTCTCACAGATATCAAACTGAAATGCACAGCTGGCTCTTTGGGGTTTTGTAGCACTTCTGTTCACCTTGGTGGAGCCAGGTTCCAGATGGAAAATTTAAATTCTGTGAGAGATCCCACATGAAAACCTTGTGTGCCTGAATCCAGGCTGAGTTGTGTGTCCAGATTCTCAGGAGACAGTAATTTTATGCTTTCTTTTTCAGGAGATTTCAGTTTTAAGGTGAACTTGATTGCAGGCTTCTGACAACCTTCTCAAGGACACAACCCATGAGGCAGAAGGCTAAATTTGGATTTGATCCATGGCTGGCCAGTAGCTTTCTGTTGATGGGTGTTGAACACAGTCTGCTGGAGGCAACCCTGTCTCAAAAAGTCCCTACACTAACAGTCAGTGGGAGCTGTGAAAGAAAAAGAACGGAAACACAGCTCAAGGCCCACTACTTACAGCATTGTCCTGAGCCTCCATTGCTGACAGCATTCAGGACAGTCTCCTGGAGTAAGTGGTTCTTTGCTCTATCCCAGGGGGACTCTTTCTTTGTGCTTCCTTGGGTAAAGGGTTCAACTTCTGTGTACCTCCACTTCCAGATACAGAAAATGGGATAATGCCTCACCTTAGCTCTGTGCATATGACAAGTAAATCAGGGTAGACATCTAAAAATATTCAGGCATCTGAAAATGCAATCTATCACACATTAAGGTTTCCAAAATGCCACAGGTATCTAACTTCTCCTAGATAGTTGTGTGAGTGAATCACAGTGAATCACCTCAAACACTTGCTGCTTATATGGGGCTCAGCTCCCAAAGGCTGTGTGAAAGCAGTTTGAACAAAGTTTTGACTCTTGCAAACACGAATATGTTGGGGTTTTTTTGTTTTGTTTTTCTTAAAAAATGAGACTACTTTTGCTCAAGTTTTTCACTGTAATGAAGGTTTACATGCACATGCTCAAATAACACCCTTTTTTCACCTGCCTACTGTTGCTCCGTACAGCTAGCTGACTTTTCAGGGGGTTTAAAGATTAAAATATACATTAATTTGCAATTCCCTTTCTTTTGTCAAGTCTTGGTCACAAGTGCAGCTTTATAAAGGCATCTGGTTGATATGATTCAGAACATATTTTACAAAACCACTTGGTTCTGTGGAGAGATTTGATTTCTTTGTCAGTAAGAGTGATTGACAACCAAAACCCACATAATCTAAAAGGAGACTCAGAGACAGGATCTGACAGTCCATCATGACAGACCTGTCGAGTTAGCAAAGCCCTGTGCAGGAATCCTGCGTGGTGCTGGGCGATCGGAGCAGGCATTTGATCAGGTGATGAAGGTGTGTGATAAGAGTGCCAGACAATGTGCTGAGGATGGCATGGGGATGTCTGGGCTGTGGGAGAGGCTGTGAATCCCCTGCTGCCAGAGCATCTGTCCCTGAGCAGTGCCTGTCCCCTGAGCCAGCCCGGCTGCGGTGCAGCTCCCCCTGCTCAGGGATGCCAGGCACCAGGCACAGCTGCTTGGAGGCCCTGCTGGTGGGTGTGAGGGGGAGGATAGGAATGATTCTTGTGATCATGTGTGGGACTCAGTGGGTCTGGCACCACCTCAAGCAGATGTTTTTGGCCACTGCTGCAGTAGGCTGAGCTGGGAAACAGCACCAAGTTTCGGCTCAGCAAGTCTCTCCAAGCTGTACTTGTGAGTGTGGCCAAGTGCTGTGGAAGTGGATTTACAGAGTTGAATCTTTGCTGCAGCCCTCATCTGGGACAACTGCTTGGAAACCTGTATGAATCATGTTACAAGTGCTAAGTGCTGAATCATGCACCTACCAAATCTGTCAGCAAAAAAATTTGTAGGCAAAAAATAAGTCAGTACACCTCCTTAAAGTGTTGGCAGCATTTTATCAGGATAAGTATTTGGATCTTGTAACTGTATGAGCTTTCCAAAATATTAATTTAATTGCAAAGCCACCTTCTTATCTAATTTTCCCCTAGCCATATCTTTAAAATGATTTAAACTTCAAAGACTATAGTAAACCCACATGCACAAAGACACTTGGAAAAAATATTTCTTTGAAATGTAACTGATTACAAACTAGTGTTGATTCCCTGTGCTTTCCTTGCAGCATTAGCTCTTCTGTGGGCATGGAATGCTCTTGTAATTTGTTAACCTCTACCACCATTTAGGATCAGTTAGGCTTTCTCACATTGAGTAAAAACTGTGTGCATCTGGTCCATGTTTGAGATGGGGGGGAAAGAAAGTGAAGTTATATGAGAAATTTCTGGGATATTTTCTTTTGATTACCTCATAAAGGCACTCTGCTGAAATGGTAATGGCTGGGAAATAAAAGAGAGAGAAAGACATCTTTTATTGATGTGGAAAAGACTCTGGCAAATCATTCTACTTACATTTCATTTTGATCTCAGAGTGCAGTACCAGGACTAAGAGATCAGGAACAGAAGCTGCAAAATAAATATTATTTAAATTTTTTTTTTAATATTTATCCCTGTAACATCTCAGTGAACTTTACTTAAAAACTACCCTTATTCTCCTATATTAACACAAAAGTGGAAGATGAGTGGTAAAGAAGCAGATTTTCCCTTGCAAGTAGCTTCTAATGTTCTTAATAGCTATATATTTATATATTTTTAAGGATTAGGGTATAGTTTCTCAGTATATTTGGGATAGAATGAAAGGGGAGCTCTGTGCATAAGCTTTATCAGATTGCGGAAGATCTGCCACCCCTAATAAAATTTTGCCCCTTTTGTGTTGCTTTAGTGAGCATATGAAACAGCGAGGGTAGGATACCTCAATTTCTGTCTCTTGGTGGAGAGGACATACATGTTATGGTTAAAGCTTTCTAACAATTAAACTGTCCTGGTTGTAAAGACAATACTTATTTCCTCAGAACTCCCCATCTAGATTTCATGAGAACTGTTAAAAAACATTTGTTGAGCAGCTGTCTTTAGAAGGAAGAGTGCACTAATAAAATGTATTTCTTAAATGGATACAGATTTTGGTGGATTGCTTTTTGGAGTTCTTAAAAAAAAAAGATTTCAGAGTGAAAAAATGTTCACTTCTAATAAATATAATTACTAAAATTCTAATAAATTCTACTATATTCTACTAATAAATTCTAAATAAATGTAATTTCATTTATTTTTCTACAAAAAAAAAGGTTGAAAATTATTATTTATTGAGCAGAAAATTCGGAGTTACACAAAGTAATTTTTTGAAGGTGGGAAGCATGTGTGAAAACTGGCTTTAGAGCTGCATTTAGTTTAAAAGAAAAAAGATTATCTCTTCCATGACAGAAATTCCCTTTTTATCAGCTCAGGATTGTTTCTGTCATGATAGATGGAAAAAGAGTAATTTCTTGTTTGCTTACTTTTTGTTTATTCCTATGTTCAAGTGAAAAACATATCTTAGGAGACTGTGATGTCACTTGTGAAATCATAGTCATAACACCACATTTGGGTCATCCAACCCATTTGGGTTGGAAATGGCTTGACAGATCTTCAAATCCAGCTCTTCATCTTCCACTGGACCAGACTGCTCTGGGCCCCATTTACCCTGGCCTTGAACACTTCCAGCAAAGGGACATCCACTCTTCTCTGGGCAACTGTGCAAGTGTCTCACCATCCTCATAGTAAAGACTCTCTTTCTAATATCTTATCTAAACCTACCTTCTTTGAGTTTAAAATGATTGCTCCTTCTCCTGTCACTCTAGGCCTTTGTAAAACGTCCCTTTCCCGCTCTCTTAAGGTCCACTTTTATACACTGAAAGGCCCCAACGAGGTCATCCTGAAGCCTTCCCTTCTCCAGGCTGAACAGGCCCAGCTCTCTCAGCCTGTCCTCATGGGAGACGTGCTCCAGCCCTCTGATCATCTTCATGACCCTCCTGTGGACTTCTGTGCAGACTAAAGGAAAGAAATATATGTCCTGTGCTTTATCTGGTCCCCTCTTCCCATGCAGGTAAATCTCAAGAATTAGAGAAGGGGAAGACCAAACACTCCTCTGAAATGGTTGAAGACAGAGGGAATTGTATAAGCACAATCTGGACTGCTAAGAGTCTGCTGAATGTGATCTGTTAAAATTTATATTGCTGCTTTCCCATTAATTCTGAAGACAGTAAATTGCAAGGTTGAGTTTGTTCTAAGTGTGTCAGATGTAGCCATTTCCCCACTATCTCAAGGAGGCAGAAATGTTTAGACTTGGACAGGTAGGCAAAATCATGATCCAAAAGCAAAGAAGGGGATTTTGGTAGCATTATGAAGCACTTCTTCAGAAGCTTTGCAAGATAATTATTTTAAGAACTGGGATTTCTGTTTCCAATTATAAAAACCTTAAGAAGTTATTAGAAAATGCAAAGCTGTGTACATCAGCTTCAGAGGCACTGTGACTAATTTATGTGTGTGTATGGCAAAAGGTGAGGTACCTTATCCTTGAAATCTGTATTTTTCTGATGGGACAGTTCTTTCTGCAGGTTCTGGCCCCAGATCCAGCATGGTACTTAATAACCTGAAGATTCCTGCAGCAGAAGCAAGAGTTAAAGCAAAAAAATGGCAGAGAACCTGGATCCCAGTGATACCATGGTGGCTTGAGTGGTCTCTGCTCAGTGCATGTCTCTGCTTCTGGCAGGGGAGGAACAGGTGGGTCATGACATGTCCTCACTGCATGGTTGAGAGTCAGGGTGAGAAACCTGGATCACACTGAAGTGGGCAGCTATATCCAAGTAATGCAGCCCAGTGTTACACAGAAATACCAGCTCATGCCAAAACATAGTCTCCATGTGAAAAGACATCTACTTTCCACAAGGTTGATTAGCTCAGGCACAACACAGGGGCAATCTACACCACCAGAGCTATCTCTGTTTATGTTAATTTGAGCTAAATCTATCTCTTATGCCTTATTACAGCATGTAGAAATACCCTTTCATTTTTTGTGTATATATGTGATAGCATTCATTAAAACCACCCATGTCCGTCTCCTGGTAAGATTTAGCAGTTTCACATTTTAGAAGAAAATCAGAATTCAGGATGAAAGGAATCCATGGTAGGGACTTTCTAATATGGAGCCCATGCAGCCTGTGGACTTCTATGGACTCTTTTTAAGTTTTTCTAGGCATATTTTCAGGTTTTTGATTGCTTGGCTCTCAAAATCCATGTACTAAATTGAAGCAGCAAGCTGATGTTTCATTTGTTCAGTGTGTATCTGTGCTGACCAGCTTTGCAGCTAGATTGAATGTTTGCTAAAATCTCCTCATCTGTGTACTGGAAAATGCCTCTTCTGAGAATTATTCAAAACACATAGTCAGTCCACGGCCCAATCCTCTTTCTAAACTGGAATATGAAACAGAAAACAAGAGAATGGTAATTTTTGAAGTCTGTGCAGTGTCTTTACAAACAATAGTTCTACATTTCTTTCAATGAACAATTAATAGCCGTGGGTCTCAGAAACACATTCCACAGTGGTATAAACTAACATTTCAGTACATATGAAAAAGAAAACTTGTCTCTTTCTCAATGGAAAAGTTCTGTAAGAAATAAAATAGTGTTTCACTCTATAAAAAGTTCCTTGCAAATAAGACCTCTTACATCTGATCCTCTCAAATATTTGTACCAAAAAAAGGGCAACAAATTTCTACCAGAGCTCTGCTTGAAGTTTATTTGGGTAACTTGTTAAGTTTGCCTGTTGATGGCTATGCTATGACTGACTGTCACTGATCTGGCTGACTAAACAGCTTCATTTTTGGACAAGGATCTGTGTGGAAATCCAGAGGTAGGCAGAAAGTTTGAGTGAGATTCAAAGACTAAATATCTGCCTTTCAGTCTAGTGCAACTTACAAAGACCTTTGAGAAGCAGTGGATACTCTGTGTGATTCACATTAATCAGAGTAAATTAAACTGTGTTTTTTATCTCTATTCACACACCATTTTAGGTTGTGTGGATAGAGACATCTGCATTTGATAAGTACCGACCTTGGCAATCATGGCAAGCAAAGTCACAGTAAGGCTTTGTTTGGTCCCACTTTCACTACTGACATGAAGCAGATGGAGGGCTTATACAGGAAAAGGTATATTCTGTTTGTTGTTAGTGGTTAGATCTATATTTGGAGAGTGTGTGCTTGGAAGGTGTCAGGTATTAATAAAGTACAGAGATTACAAAAGAAAACAATGCATGATGTTCATGTTTCCTGGGTCCGAATTTCAATGAAGCTGCTTCCTGCTTTGCCCAGGCTACCACCTCAGTTTAGCAGTTGATGGGATTTGCAGAAGTGCAAAAAGTCCAGTGTAGCTGATTAGCTTTTCTGGCTGTTTTTCATTCTTTTTTATTCTAGAACTGTGAAATGTCAAATGTCTTTATCAGCCTTCTCACTCTTAGTCCTGAGTACAGTCAAGTACCTGGGTGAGTCAAGTCTGAGAGGAGTTTGCCCTTACAAATGCAGGGCTAAGGCAGGTGCAGGGAAAGGGAGACTTGTTGTCTGTAAAAGCTTCCATTGTGGGTGTGGAAGGACTGGGGGAGCTGCTTTGGCACTCAGGGCACAGTAATGGTTGCCTGCTTGCTAGTGCATGCTCCTTCTTGCCCCAGATCCAGAGCATTTGGCTCCTGGGCTGAGAAGGAGTGTGCAGAATTCTTCTGTTGTTTACTCTGTCCCAAAACTCCTAATGGAGTAATTTTGAGACCAGTTTGTTTTTGTTTTTTTTTTCTTAAAAAAAATAACAACAAAGTTTTCTCCAGTTTCTCAGAAAAACAGGAGATGACTTCATCTTATCGTAGTTGCTGAATTTATTTTTAAGGTGGGAGAGTGCCAAAAGCTGTAATCTTGCACGCCTCCTTTAATATGTAACATCCTGATTGTAGTGGCCCTGAAAAATTAGCAAGTATTCAAATTACCCTAACTAAAAAGGATTTGAGTCCACCCATTATCCAGACTACATGACTCATTAAAGTGAAGGGTGAGAGCACAACAGAGTGGCATTAATCACTCAGTTCTGCAACAGGAAGAAAAGCATTTGTGTGATACTTCATTTACAATGTACCATATGCAGAATTAGCTGATAGTCTCAAAAAGACTCTAGAGATGATGATGACAAAGGAACATCCCACTTCTAAGCAATTTTGCGAGACTATTTAGTTCAGTTTCATTTTAGACTTTGCATTTTGCTTGATAATAATACACAAAAGGCACTCAGATATTTTTCTTTTTTTGATGAAAAAGAAAAGCTTAATTTCCTGTTTAATGGCTTCTTCTCTCTTGGATTTTAGAATATGACAAAAACTCACATATGTCTGGAAATACAATTTCATGACTAGATTTTCTAAGACCAAGAGAGGAAAAAACCCCCCAGACTTATGATAAAGCTGAAAGCATCTTTTTTAGGTTTTGAATGAGTTATCTTGAAGATACTCTCAGAAAAGTCATATGGTATTAGCTGAGGTCTAATACCACAGGCAGCTGTGCCATTAGAAAAAGAAAAAAAAAAAATGGTTGAAGCAAAACTCTGGATGCTTAGACTCTGAAGAATACCTGGGATCAGAAAACAGAAAAGAAAAAGCAATCTGACTGGAGAAATGGGCCAAGAGGGGCATCAGTAGCATTGTTTCTGACAACAGGTGGTATTGATGTTTTCGGTGTTTAAATGTTATAAGCTACCATTAAAGAAAAGGTACCCAGTTCAAATAAGATTATTGGTGATAGTCATTGTACTCTACAAGAATCTCAGAGAAGATAATTAGAGCCCTGGACTGTGTTAGGCAAAGGTTCACATTGCACAGCACTGTTCATATGTGGGGTAGCAGACAGAGAAATCTCAGATGAGGTTGATACTACCAAATCCAAACACGGAAGAAAAGAGACTTGGTGCACGAAGAAACAACAAATTCAAAGTTGATGGTACAAAAAGCAACATATGGAGCTTCATATGCTGTAGCAAACACCATAAACTGTAGAATGGGCTGGCATTTTTAATAAATTTAATATGTTTTAATTATTGTTGTTGTTCTTGATTGGGGAGCTGTTGCAGAGCTTCTCATTGGAGCCACTTGGGTCTGATTACTGTGTGGATCAGCACACACTCAGCAGTGCAGAGCAGCTGGACCCAAAGCCCTCGTGCAGCAGACCTCTGCCAGACTCCCTGGCTTGGAGTGGCTGCTGGATTTCCTGTGGTAGAGAGCACAGAAGGATTCCCAGTCTGAAATTTCTTGGTCTTGACTGGAGGATGCTCAGATTTGTCCACACACCACCTTTCTCACCTTCCATAAATCACTCCAAAGAGCTGCTGTTTTAAGATCAGATAGATGATTCTTGTTGATGTAGTCCATGGGGTTTCTTTTGGTGCTGTCAACAAGCTTTTCTATTATTGTCAGTTCAGGTAGGGTGGGCCTGTGATATCAACAAAAAATTTTTGATTACAATTTTGATGATAATCATGGCTTCTAATGTGCTGCTTTGATTTAAAATTGACTCTCAAACTTCTGTGTTTGTTGGAGTAAAAAAAATTCTCTTCTTTTTTACATAGTCTTCAAAATTTGCAATACTACAACACATGCTAAACATATAATTCATCCAGTGACATCAGTAAGACTGTTCTTTTGTTTAGAGATGCACACATCTGCAAGACCTTATTCTATATTTTCATGACGATGGAATAACACATACATATGAGATGGGGATGATTTCACTAGTAAGATGAAAATATTTTACTTTGAGTGGTCAGGTTCAAAAATTAATAAAAAATTCACTCATCATCTTTCCTGGATCAGTTAACCAGTCTGAACCCAGGCTTTGTGTTAAAACTTAATGGCATTTTCTTCCTTATGATGGATATATTTAAAAAAAAATCAATGCTAATGCCTTCCCTTGTAAAGTATTAATTGTCAGGATGACCTAAACATATTCAGCCAGTTGTGATTATATTTTGCTTTCTGACCCACAGGAGATAATCACCATCTGTCTTCACTATCACTTCCTACCTTTGCTGCCTGCAACTTTTTTCTATCATATTTTACTACTCAGCAGTCAATTTAAACTCAGAAACTCGTTCTATATTTGTTTACCTTTGCCAAATGCTTCTATTGTTTCAGACCTGTACAAGCATTTGTGTGCCTGAAAGCTTGCTTGTTTTCTCAGTGATGTAAATTGGCCTAATAGCTTGCCAAATTACAAGTTGTGTCTTTTCAGCAAGAGAACCTCTTTAACCAATTCATCTGAACTGATCTGAGTTTTATAATGTTTTCCAAACTTATATTTTTTAACACAAAAAATCTAGAGTGAATTCTATATGATAATGATAGAGTAATTTCTTTTCCTTGTCATACTGGCTTATTTAAGCTCAGAAGTATGTGTTCACAATACAGCTTATTTTACCTCAGGAACTGTAAATTATTTTGGTCAATTTGATTTCAAGAAATTATTTTCAAGTTCATCTTGAGAAGACAACTGCCTTGTTAACAGAATTATTGACTGAAACCCAAGACATTGAGTGAATTATGATATAACTGACATCTTATAAACATTTCTCTGTCCCTGAACACAATCTTAATTAAATCAGAGCTGCAACACTAAAATACTCTATATACACTAGGTTTGTGTTATCTGTGAATTATAAAAAACAGAAAATCATGGATATCTTAATAAGGAAATCTGTTTTTCTTTGTTCCTATTTTCTTATGGAAAGTTTCTTTGGCACATTTTCCCTGTTGCATTTTAAATTGCAATATTCCAGCTCTTTCAAGCTCCGTGAAACAAATCACATATCAAGAAGCCAAGTATCTGTATCTCCTTCATATACACAGTCTGTGAGAGCACTCCTATAGACTTCCTGCCTTGCCTTGGGGAAGTATTTATATTTTACCTTATTTATTCACAGTACAAACAGATCTTAGGTAATGAAAACAAGGGCAGTGGGAAATAATGTCAACAAAAAGTACCAAAAAGGTTTACATAAACTGCCATCTCAGCTTCTGTAACATGCAGATGTAACTGCTGTGGATAATAGAAACACCTGTCATTTCAGCTGTCAACATACATTGGCAATTTTACCAAGCTGCCCTTTGGGTGCTCCATTTGCTGCAGTCCTTTGACTGGTCTTGCCTTACTGCCTTTCACAGGCAAAGTTAATGGCTCTGATCATTCCATTCTACTCACTTCACATATTCATTCTGACTCAACTTTTTCTCTGACTCACAATCTGTTTGTATTTCCATAGCCAAGAGTGCATGTGAAACATCCTGGGCTAATGTGGAATGGCACAGGCATCGCAATGTGTTATTCATACCTGTGTGAGTAACAGCCACTCATTCCTTGGTACATGTGTATTGACTCGAGGGGAGCTTCATTTCCTGCCATCTCCCATTTATTCAATCACTTGGTAAACCTTCTTCTACAGTGCAGGGGATAAACCCTCTTGTTCTTGTGTCAGAATGGAACTGCCTCAACATAACAGGATTACATCTTCAGCCAACTTTAAAAGAATTATCAAGAAAAAGAGAGAGGGAAAAAAAAAAAAGTTTAGGAGTTTGGATGGACTTGTTATGCTCTTAAATCAAGATCAGTAGCTGACCTGTAGGTGTTGTAACTGCTTCAAATATTGGGGCTTTCTGGTGGAAAGCAAAAGTACATGCAAAATCTGCTGGGTAGATTCTCCTCATGGACCTATCTTATGTGCTCTGTAACATGCAAAACTGCAGGGAAATTTTGAGCAAACTGTGTGAGACTCTTGACATATCTCCAAAATCCACAAAACAAACAAACTATTAGCAGAAGGAATATCCTTTTCTATACTAACTTCTGTGAGCAAAGAGAGCCAGGAAAGAGAATAGATCTACAAAACAATCATGGCATTATCTATTACTTTAAACATGAAATTAAGATAACAAAGTGGCTGTGTTTTATTGTTTGGGGTTTTTTTATACATAGATTGTTAATTGACAAATCTGACCTTTTAGACACCTTCTAAGAGGTCATGAACTCAGTGATTACTATAGAACTGCAGAGTTAAATCTTCCAGGAGCTATTATTGGCTATCCAGAAATATGACAACAGCTCTAGTTCAATTGCTTGATGGTTAAAGAATATTGGTAATATGTACTGTGTAATCTACAATGTCGATACACATGAATTAACTTCATTACATGCAGTAACTCAGGTTATTACCAGTGAACACGTCCAGGTGTAACAATGAATTTCTGACATGCATAGAAGGACTGATGTTCATCCTGCCATCTAAATGGCATTGTCTTTCTCTCAGAAACTTCTGATAGACAGGAAAGTAAATCTTAAAATGCAGTTTTAAATATCCAGCTAGTCAGAATTAGAGGAAAATCTGAGGCTGGGTGGCATAAGTGCAGAGGTTTCATTATTTCAATGTTTCTGCTCTGCACTATGTTGCCAGGGACAAATACATCATATGTTCTGAAGAGACCTCAGTAGTCACTGCAGCATCACACTGAGCACAGACTCCAAAAGCCTTGCTCATAGGAGGATTGAGTCCATTTGGAAGCGTTGGAGATGACACATCTGGTAAATAGGTATGATGCTCTGGTTTTATAGCTCCAAGAGGGTGGATCACTGGGTGTCACTCTTGGGTATAGTGGTGGAGGCAGGGAAGGAATGCCAGAAAATACTTGATTGGAACCAGAGGGAAACCTCATTTATACACTGTAACATTGAAAAAGTGATATCACAAAGCAAATATTATAGTAAAACATGATTTTGGCTTGCTTATTTCCATCCTCCCTTGTTTTATTGCAAAACACTTACTTTTCTGGAAGTTCTGGATGTTTGAATTATTTGCTTGATGTTTTATTGTTTGGGTAATTTTTTTTTTTTTCTTTAGCCATTATGGTGGCTTTTAATAGTAATTAACATCCACTGCAGTAGAGTATTTTGTCTTGCTCAAAATTATTACTAAACAAGAATTGATCAGATGTTTTTTCATCTTCAGTTTTCCTTAATGGTCCACCCCTTCCAATTTGCCATGTGCTGAACTTACTTTCTTTACAATAACAGCACAATCTTTGCACACAGAAATTTTTGTCTTAAGACTGCTGTTATTTTAAATTGGCCATGCACTAATAACCGACAGAAGTAGGAAATGTTTTAAGAAACAAGCATCAATGAACATAGATGCAATTAGTATTTCAGTATAGTGGGCACCTATCACCCTTCTTAGTAATTTTCTGGGTTATCTGAGCAACCTGGAGATCAAAGTTTAAAACTTGCTGGTTTTTCATATTACATTTTGTAGGAGAACAAGATATGAGTTGCTTATGCTGTTAACTAAAGACATACGAAGCACTTGGATACTCCAATTATCTTCTGACTCATTGAAATCTGTATACTCTCTGTGGACCTCCTAAACACTCCAGTAAAAGGAGTAGAGGTTATAGATATCTGGATAATTGAACTGAACTCAATACTTCATCTGGTTTCAGTAACATTTCTTGTATTTCTTACTTTGGAGTTCTAATTTCTTGTTGTGAAATCATCTTGCTGGAAGAACAAAAAAAAAAATCAAAACCAAACTAACAACAAAACCCCACGACACCCAAAACCAACTGTGAGAGTTAGATTAAACAAATTCTCCAAATTGTGTTTTTTGCTATGTATTAAAGCTGGTATTTGAGTGCACAGAGCAAAATTAACTGGAGGGAGATGCCAGTGCATTGCCTTGTGCCCCTTCCTTGGGAAACCCCAGGGACCCTGGTGCTGGCAGGTGTTGGCACCTGCTCTTCCACACAGGTCTTGGTGACACTGGTCTTTGGCCACCATCCATGTGACTGCTTCATGGTCTTTCCCTGAGCATTCTCCTGAGCCCCAGGGCTGCTCCTGGGAGTTGCCAGTGCTCAGCCTGTGGGGAACTTCCATCTCTGCTGCCTGGCACGAAGCTTTCCATCCCTCTTTCAGGACTGCTCACTTACATATCTGTCCTGGGGTGTCCATAAACTAGGACAACATCCCATTCAGGAAGCAGGTGCAAGAGGCTGGAAGTCTTTCTGAGGGGTGTTTATGTAACATCTAGTGTAGGGTTTATACTCCTGCAATCATCTTTGGGACTCTGGGGTACAGGGATCTTCATATAAAAAGTGTGAACTAATGCTCTGTGCTGCATGTGGAGTGAAACCTGTCTCCAGGCAGAAGCTCTGCTGGTGCTCCAGTAGTAGGAAGTGAGCTATCTCCCAACATTAGCCAGGGTATTGGTAATTTCTCACATTTTCAATGTTTTCTTTAATGTTTGGTAGCATTAAATAGAGTGCAGAAGATACTTAAGTGGTGCCAGGGATTTTGCACAGGAGTCTCATAGCTAGTTCCCAGAGGGAATCAATCACTTCTTTGCTCAGCAGTGATGACTGACTTACAGTGACTGCATGGGCTGCAAATTTAAACTCTAGTTTAAAACTAGTTTAAACTGCAGCTGCAATATCTTTATTCTTTCTGGCTTGAAGATGAAACTTCATATGGAGAAGTTCACTGACAAATTCACCCCTTTAAAAAGGCATAAGTAATGCTATAAACATGTTAAACTGTGACATCAATATTTGGGAGGATAGTGATTATAGAAGGATTCAGTAAGAAGTGATCTCAGTCAATGGACAACAAACAGCTCAGAAAATGAGCAGAAAATTCTTGTCTTTATTTAAGACAAAACTTAACCCAAATCTGTTTGACTTTATAAAGACACAGAAAGGCTGCCAGTGTCAGAAATTGTACATTGAAACAAAAATTCTGTGGAACTCTTCTCAGAAATGTTTATTGTAGTACTGAAATGCCATAGCACGCTGGGGAGTACTAGGGAAGATTCCTGGACATAGCTCAAGTCTTTGCAGTTAGGTACTATCACTCATTAAAGAAAAACATAGCTGCTTGGAAAGAGCAGAATGACATTTTGATTCAAAATCAAAATTACAGTAGAAGCTTGTGTGGCTTCCAGCCCCCTTTGCTCAGCATTCACTGAGATCATGCATTTAAATATATGTTGCTTTAGAAACTACTAACAGAGCATAAGGTACATAACAGCTTTTCTGCTCAAATGAACCACTTGAAAACTACGTTTCATCTCCTGGAAAGAGTCATTTCACACTATCATTGCCTACATTTGGCAATAGGTTTTGAAAGATGCTCTCTGACTATCCTGTTATGTGGGTTCCTAAAGCTCAGAACATGTTTGTCACTAGACATCTTTGTCTCAAGGACACCATGGTTTGCTTCTCATAATTTTGCTTTTATTTGTTGCATTCTTACCCCTTAAAAAAAAAAGTTAAATTAGACTTGGAATTAATTTATGGTTAATCATGTTCTTGAAAGTTCTTACATTTCTCAGTGTAGTAGACTGACAAGAAAATACACAGAAGCAAGAAATCAGAGATCTACCATACTGCATATCTGATTACATTTGTAATCTCCTCATTTGAGACAGCATGTGAGAGATGCCTGGTTTACAAACAGTACCCTTATAAACCTGACCAGTCCTTTGGGCTATGGATTCCTGATTGTACAGCTCATGTATTCCAGTGAAGTATTTGTATTCCATGTACACTGCTTCTTTTTTAAAATTCTTCTAAATTCTTCTTCCCATTTCACTTCACCTTTGCCCATCTCACCGAAGACAGCAGCAATCACATAATAAATGCATGTATTCCTGGACTGTTTCCTCTACTACACTCTTTCTTTCATGGCCCACCTTACGTCTCAGGAGATTTGCTTTCATTGCTTCTGTGTTTTGAACAGCTTGAAAGAAGCGATGGCTGAAAGAAGGGTCAAAAAGTTAGCTTTTAAATGATAAACAGACTGGTTGCTGGCATGCCTGAGCATTTTTAGGGCATATTTTATATTTTTCTTCTCACTAGTGCTTCTAAATTTCATACAGAAGCCTGAAAGGACCTCTAGTATTAATGAAGATCATATAGAGAATATATTTGGCAAAAACACAGTGTGATCATGATGCATCTGTTATCTGAAGTAAAAACTGAGGTCAGAATTTTAATAAAGAGTATATGAATATTTTTGCATCTACAGAATAGCATATGTCAGTTTTCAGTGCAACTGGATCAAAATTACTGCTACTGCCTACGCTGGTGATGTAGACTGCATGGTCTTCTCTCTCTATTAGGCTGGTAAGGTCCATGGAAAGCAACTGTCAGCCAATACAGAAAACTAAGAACTGCCTCCTAATCTTGATGATGATGCAGGCTTGATACAAAATAATTAGCTTTGTGTATGCTGGAGTAGGAATAAAGAAGAAACCAATACCAAAGAATATTGAATAATTCAGGAGTAGGGTAATATTTGTCAGCTAATATTTGGTGTCAAATTCAGGAACTTTCATGGTAAAATGTGATTTCCAAGGGAGGAACAGAAGTATCAACCAGAGAGTCATAAGAAGGAAGACCACTGAACTGGAAAAGAAAACAGTTTGGATGGAATGGGTGTGAGTTGAGGCACAGGCTTTCTTCAATCTGTAGTCTGCAATGTAGGTAGAAATCACATCCTGATGGAAGGCCCAGTTTCTCATTAAGCAAAACCTTTAAAAAAGTGAAGCAAAGAACTACTGCCCACTCTGGAGATGTTCTTGGTGAGCCCTTATTTTCAGATAAGAACATCACTGTCCATACTCACTTTATTGCCTGGTTTTGATATTTGAATGTTGGAGAACTAGAGCTGGAAATAAATTATCCCTGGCTATGAAATCACATTAGCCTTGGCAACATATTTGAAAGTTGTAAATGAAAATTTTTCTCTGACCAATGTAGAAAAGCTATTGCTCAAGGTGTCTGACTTAAAGTATTAGTATTTTTCAATGAACTTAGCCCAGAATGATACAAGTATCTTGCACATGACAATGTAGACTATTGAATAGTTACATTTCTCTAGTAATGAGGCAAAAAAAAAAAAAAAAAAAGAGACAGTTTTCTTTGGATACACTGGAGCTATATCAAACATTTCTCAAGTCCATTTGAAAAATGGACAGAAGAGGATCATTGCTTTGCCTCAATTACATGCAACAGAGAACCGAGTTCCTGAAGTGAGGGGAAGTCTCCAGAGTAATTGTCTTGAAATCAGCTGTCAGACTCTTAAGATTTAGTTTATAAGAGCCTGCCCATACGATGAGAAAGAATTCTGTGTTACTGTGATCATCTGATCTGTTACCAGCAGAGCTTAGGATAAATTCAGCAGTCTTGATGGGTCTTGTACTAATGACAAGTATGAAAGAAGCATTCTATATTCCAAATATTTTTATTTTTCTTTGAATTGATAAGTGATCCCTCAAGAGTTATTTCTGTTATTCATTGATGCATTGTTACCCAAACCAAGCTTTCCTATGAATGTTTGTGTATTTTATAATCATGATAGTATCTATATTCTACCTTGACTATTGTCTTGAGACCACAAAATTGTTATGCCAATGAGACAAATCCTTTTTTTAATATAAATCAGATTTTGAAGCACACTAAAAAGCCAGAAGAATGCCAACAGAATTTTAAGTTTGTTGAGATTTGAAATTCTCCTGGAATTGTACCCTCTCACTGAC